TAACAATCAACACATACCGAACCAAACCTAAAACCGTGACCACGAAACCTTGAACCGAACCGTGGATTTTGCGAACCGTTCCACCCCTATAATATATATATTGGAGTTCATAGGTTTTATACTGATATACGTAAATAACTATGTGATCGTTTATAGTAACATTCACACAAAGTTAGATGTTCAAAGAATTAAAATTTCATTGAGAAATTTATACTTCATCCAGACTGAACTGTGATTAGCCAGATAATTTATAACAAAGGAACAGGAATCTAATGATTGACCCTACTGTCACTACTAGGGCTGCAACAAACCATCATTTTGCAAATCGATGAATCTGTCGAATGTTTTGCGAAATTAAAAAAGGTGAAACCAAAATGTTACCACTTGCAGATTTCTGGATAGAGCATATTGACAGTTTTTTTTTTCTTATCTTAAATGCAAAATGTTTACTTTTTTTTTTACTATTTTGGTATAATTGCTGCTCACGGTGGGCAGCTCTGTCAGCTAAAGTTATGTTTTAGAGTTTCTACACTTCAGTTAACGATTATCGACTACTAAATTAGTTAAAGATTATTTCAATAATCGATTAGTCGTTTCAGCCCTAGGCGCTACATACATCCGCAAGGATTTCCAAACAAAAAAGCATTGTTAAAATGACTATTAAGAAGACTTTTGAGCCACGTTACATCAGAGATTGCTTTTGGCGACAAAAGTTGAACGCATCATAACTAGTAAGGAATTACAGGAAATCTTTGTGACAGGAATTTGAGGTGGGAATATAAAGGTTTGGATACAAGCAAAAGATGGAGATCCTATAAGGAAGGAATGAACTCCTATGGTTCGGAGGATACGCCTACATTTATCTCTTCAAGCACTAGGAAAATCTGTCTTAATTCCTCATCTAAATGTCTTGTGCAGCAACATGTGGCTCAAATATTAAATGCTGGACAGATTAAAAACTTGCATCTTTACATTAAAAGATGAAAAATGTAACTAAATTGATTCTCTATCAGTATTAAAACAGATCATAGAAAGTGAACAATAAATAAAAAGAACCTGAATAAAACAGAAATGAAGCCCACTCCCACTGCAAGGTCAAACCAATCCACCAACACCCCCCCAAAGTAAAACAATCCCCCCACCTCATGTCAGACTTTTACTTTGAAACTCTTACCTTAAACCTTTGCAACCACTATGGTTGACAAAGACATTTTGGCAAGCGTTAGGAGAGAAAGAGAAAGAGACCAGAAGGTTAGCTGAAAGGGAAACAGCTTTGATGAAAAGCTTATTGTTCAGAAACAAGGAATCTTTGCTCCCTGAGAAAAGGGAAACAAAAAGCCAAAGTGTCGGGAGTGAACCAAGCTTTTTAGATTAAAACCACTTTTAATTTGTTATATGAGAGAAGAAAAGGGTTGAAATCTGTGTCCAGAAGGAGTTAAAGGAGTTTAGATTCAGTTTCCTACTGAAAAAGACAGACTTATCGATTGTTTTCTTAAATTACTTCCCTCTCAAATTCACTGAAACCAGAGAGCTCTCTGTTTGACCTCTTCATGTCCTCCATATTTGTTTTCAACAACTTAAACCCACAAATCTTGTCAGAAAGTCATTTTTTTCTCACAATAATTCATTTGACTTTGATATAAAAAGGCTCTAACATTAAATCGCCGTTAAAACAGTTTAGTCAACTGTAATCTGGGAGAGAAAAGCTGAGCACCTTGACTCCGTGGCCCATGTCGTCCAGCAGGCTGTAGTCGACGGGTTTGCGGATGTAGCGGACGGGCCTCTCCGGGTTGGCCGGGGCGATGATCTTGTGCGTGCGGGACGTGTTCTTGTTGGTGGTGAGGATGCCAATCTCTCGCCGTGCTACTTTCTCTTTGTGGATGTCCACCGTCTGAGGGATTGGAAGCAGGAAAGGCCTTTTTATTAAAAAAAAATACTTTATCTCAGATTACGAGATTGAAGCGAAACAGGTACCTGTGAGATATGATTGATGGAGGACTCCATGCGGCGCAGCTGCGACGCCTGGATGTCGAGCATCTGCAGCACATTGTTGGCCAGCGTGTTGATCAAATAGGCCACGCTGGCCAGCGACTGGGTTGTGTAGTTCTTTGTCTCCTCCAGCGCCCTCTGCTTGTCTGGAGACTGAGAATAAGAGACATTCACAAACTACAGCAAGCCAATGAGAGTTTTCAGACAATCTAACGAAGCTGCTAGAAATATCCGTTTTTAAATTGCATTTTTGTCAGATTTTCAAACTCCAGCTAATTAGAAATGGGGGTTTTCTATCAGCCGGTGCCTCGTTCTGTGAAATATTGACCATTTTATGTGTTAAAGACATTAGCTTTAGCGACTATGAGTGTCTTGTGTGCAATTTGACAGAAAAACATAGGCTAAAGAAAGGATGTAAGGAGTTAATGGAGGAATGTTGATCAAAACATGGAAGCAGAGGTGAAAGTTTTTGCATAACCCTGCATCTATCCAAACATGAGGCAAATAAACAAAAAAAAAACCCTCCTAATCAGAAGGAGATCTTCCCTTCTAGGGCAGTGCTTCCTTCTGGAGTGTTTCTCAAATAAAAAAAAAAAAGGTGCCACCTCTAGATCTAATCTTAGCTTGGGTGCCACTTTTAATCAATTGCTTTGGGAAATGTTGTGCTGCTTAAACGGGAGCAGAAAAACCCATTTGTTACGGCCACATCCACCGGATCGATCCCCGACAGCACAGAGCGTAAACACACAGACAGCAGGTCACAACAGCCTCTGGTTCCATTCCTCCATTTAAAACGAGAAATCCACTGCAAATGTTTCCCATACGGCCTGAACTGATACATTTGGGAAAACTAGTCTAATATATTAGGAACGACAGGATGCTGACATTAACAATCACAGTACAGCAAGGGGGCTGGGATTCTGGGTTTCAATACAATGATATAAACCCTTCAACATACCAGAGTATTTTATTTATAATGGATCGTCATTAGGTTCTACAGCACCATAATGATCTAAAACTACCAGATTAGGGCGTGCATGACCAGCACACATGACCAATGTACGAAGGCCTTATTCCTCGACGCAGGCGACCCGGGTTCGAATCCGGCCTGTGGTCGTTTTTCGCATATTTCTCCCCCTCTCTCATACCCCCTTTCCTGTCAAAAAAAGAGCCACTAGTGCTGTAAAAACTCAAAAAATAAAATACATAAAACAACCAGGTTCTCCACACTCGAAATACGACGACCATCTCAGTCCCCTGGTCCAAATCCCACAGGAAATAAATGTGCAAAAGCATTTTCAAACACTGTGGATTATCTTTCATTCTGTGGGAATGACTGCCTAAAAATCAGTCATTAAGCTAATTGATCTGGATGTAAAAAGTTCTTCTGATGTTAACAATTTAAATTGTCGGAACTCCAACTTTTTCTTTTTAAGTGGGTGTGCAAAGGTGTTGATTTTACTTTAAAAAAAAGAAAAAGTATGTAAATAATAGGGTTGGGCAATTAATTGCATTTGCATTATAATTGCAATTTAGGAATAATGTCAATTTGAAAGCACAGAAGTACTCAGATTACATTTAACAGTAAGAGTAAGACACTAAATTTCCACCTCCAGCCCTTTAGGTGGCGTTAAGACACTTGAAGTGGGTTTGCCACCTCACAGGAGGGAAGAGAGAGTTGCAGCTAGAACGCAGATCCATGTATTTTATTAGAAGTAATCAACTTTTCATGCAAAGGTTACAGAAAAGTCCTGCAATTATGGACTCTGTATAAGTAAGCTTTCAAGGTCATGCAAAAAACTGAAACCCTATATATAAAACATTTACATGATTGCGTTTATTGCAAAAGAAAATTGCAATAAAAATCGCAATATTGGTATAAAATAATCAAAATTTTGAACAAATTCATTCAACCCTAGTAAATAATTGTTTTAATAGATGTCGATGGGCCCAAAATAGGTAAACATTTACTTCTGGTTACAATACCATCATTGCAGAATAGTGGATTGAAGTTACTGGGACTGAGCTCAGAAGCTAGTAGCTCAGTGAGAACTACATTAATCAGATTCAAACCAAAAATGAGCAGAATGAAGGAGAATGTTGGTTAAGCTTTTGTCTACGTTCACACTGCAGCCTAAAGTGACCCAAATCTGATTTTTTTTCCCCCATATGCGACCTGGATCTGATCTTTTCATTGCAGTCTGAACAACACTGATCCGATTTTTTTCAATGCGACCAAGGCCGCTTGGCTATGTGGTCCTGAATCCGATACGAATCTGATCTTTTCAAACCCGACCTATGTCTGAACGGCCAGGTCGCATTCATTCCAATAATACCCGACAAAGGTCACCATTCTGGGTCTTGCTATGAAGAAGCGGCAAGAAAAAACACAACCATGGCAGACGATGATGCGGAGAGCAGTCTTTATGTTTAACCATCTTGAAAAGTTTGTGTTTTTATGGATGAGAAAGATCGCTAGTTGCGCTTCGGCACTACCATCCATGTTTACTTCTGTAAACACAGAGCACGCTGGCCTGTGACGTCGTTGCAGCCTCTACTGCGCATGTGGGACACTTGCGTTTTATGACTGCAGTTCACACAGGAGATCACATACAAGTCGCATATATTTGGAAATGTCAACAGCAAAGAAAAAAAAATCGGATTTCACACAAAAAAATCGGAATTAAGCATCAAGGCCTGCAGTGAACGTAGCTATTCCATTCTGGATTGGTAAAAATATAGGAGGATTAAGCAACAGTTAAATATATTAGAAAGAAAATAACTAAAGAACAGAAAAAAGAAAAATAGATTGAAAGAATAAAAAAAGATTTTTTTGAACAAAAGGGTATCTTTTTAGATGGAGCATGGTATGACATCAAACACCATCGCTAAGTGTTGTCTCTTTTTCACAAGCAAGGCCAGCATGCGAGCGGTTAGCCTCTAACAGCTCAGCCACAACTTGCCCAGAGATAACAGCGTAGCATATGAGCCAAAAGGGTAAAAAATCAAAAGGTTCACCAAAGCACGGTCCCCTTTATAAACAGCATTTATAAAGTTATGCCTTACTGCTTCACAGGATTGGAAGTTTCTTCTGGATCGTGTTTTTATCCATAATTTATCCCTGTTTTTATCGGGCCAGAAGAAAAATTTTCCTCCAGTTCCTTTCGGAAGAACCTAGAAGGTCAAATTTACTGAAAAGTTTTGTTTCTTTTGGTGAATATTTTGCCTTAAGCAGGCATAAATCCAGTAATAACCTTGAGGTGGGATTCAATATCTACAAACCAGGGTGGTTTTGGCACGGTGCAGTGTTGAACCACTGCCCCAACATCTTGTTTTGGTCAACAAAATGTGCTAAACCCATCCTTGTAGTGAAATTTCAAGTGTTGCTTCTTTAAATGTTACTGGCTGGAGGGAGTTTAAAGCTTCAAAGCTGTGTAGCTATCAGCTTTAAAGCTTTGTAGTTTGGAGAACATATATATTGACACCATGAAACATCCAACGCTTTTCTTTTGTGCATTTTTTCATATTTTTATGTCATAAGGGAGTTCCTATCCACCATTAAAGCTGAGATTACAGGTCATGCGAGTGGGTCAAAAAGAACTGGAGTCTGCAGACTGTTTGAACAAGCTTATTTGATAAGATATACATAATACATCAGCTAACTAAGGACTAAATGGTTCCAATTGACCATAATACCACATTGGTTAACAGTCAAATATTGTCCCGCAATTTCCTCATTGCGGGACAATAAAGGGATTTTCTATTCTTATCTATACAAAGGTGTTCAGAAGTCTCCATCTGTAAAATTTTCATGTATTCTCTCTCCAAATAGGACCTACTCTTCTGCAGAGGTGTCAAGTAATGAAGCACAAATACTTTGTTACTGTACTTAAGTACACTTTTCAGGTATCTATACTTTACTCCATTACTTATTTTTCTTCCTACTTCTGACTTCTACTCATTACATTTTTAAAAAAGTATCTGTACTTTCCATTCCTTACATTTTTAAAACAAACGCTACTCATTACTTTTGGCTTCTGTTAAATGTTTATAAATATTTATTTCACGTCATGTGCGCCATCCAGTGCAGATCATTGCCGCCATCCATGTCTAGTGAAAACTAGTGTGATTGGATGAGTCATATAACGCAAACATTCATTGGTTAGCTAAAGGAAATCATCAGAAGCAAGCAGGTGTTCTTCAAACTGCAAACGTGAATTGCCTATGCCATGCTACAATGTCGGATTCAGAAAAAGATGTTGAAATGTCTGAAAGGTCAAAACAGGCGAGAGGGTATCGGGAGATGGAGACCAACAAGACCTCCTTCATCCTTGGCCCTATCTCAAAGAATTTTAAGAAAAAAATTTGAGCTTTCAGCTCATATAGGGGCATCTGGCTGTTTTTTTTAAAGGTTACTTTATACTTTTATACTTTAAGTAGATTTTGGAGCTCATACTTTTTCACTTTTACTTGAGTAAAGAGGTCAAGTTGATACTTCAGTGTTTTTAAACTTCAGGATCTATTCTTCTACTTAAGTAACAAACGTATGTACTTTTTACACCACTGTTCTTCAGTGGAAGGCTTACAGGTTCAACAGGTCCAAAGCCTTTCATGACTGATGCTGTTACTAGAAACCTGGCCCACATCCAGAGTGAGAAGTGACTCATCTTAATAGCATTCTCCTGACAAACGCTTTAAAGCCATCTGACAGCAACAATGCAGGGAGGAAAACCTGCCAGACAGCTGGATGCCATCCTCCACCTCCTCTCCAGGAGAAGCTGTCAGACCTGATCAAGTCAAAATTCCTCCATGACACCTTCTCTTCCTCAGGTAATTCTGTCCATCTCAAACAGGATCAGAGGGTGAAGTTGTTAGAAAGAGTTGGTTAAACTCACAACAGCAGAGGTTTAACCACCCTGTCTAGCAAACGGATAGTATGATGGAGGGCTGCAAGCTGGACACCCTGAGCTTCACTCTCATTACTGCTGAAATAAAACTTAATAAACCAGAGCATTGAAATTCAAGCTATAATCATCAGAAAGATGCAACAAAGCAAAAAAATAAATAATGAGCAACACAATCAGCTGCTGGCTCCCCTCCTCCCATCAGATCACCATTTTAATACAAGAAGGCAACGAATTCAAGTCAGCTGCATGTTGAAATACACACAGAGCAACAGATAATAGACTATTAAGAAACAGACAAAAAGTTATTCATGTGGAGGCTTTTAAAAGCACGATAGAGTACTTTCTGAGGCACCGCTTAGCACCTTAAATCAGGGGTGTAATCGTGTGATCACAGCGGTTGGTCAGATTAGTCAAAGTGTATATCTTTCATCGACAGCCGTCTGATCCACACAGACCGGAACTATTGATTTTAATGCCCGCTTTATCATTTCTCATTTGGGATTTTTCTTTTTTTAACGGCTAGGATGAGGGGAAAGTGGCTAGCTAACGAGCTAGCGAGCTAGAATACATTCACACCACAACGTTAAAAATGTAAACCTACAAGCTATAGTGAGTAACGTCGATAACACTAAATAAAACCATGATACTGTTTGATTTAATCCCAAATAAGTGTCGTTTGTTTTCGCTTTAGCAGAGGGTAGCTATAGAACAGCGTTAGCAACAGTTAGCCTAGCATTAGCTCGCCGGAATCAGGGATGCGAGTGTTTAAAATCGGAGCCAAAAAATGAAACAATAACCTACTTGGACATAGTTGCTTTCGCAGTACTCGGCTACTCTTTCCAAGTTGGTGAAACTGTCCAGCAGAGCGCTTCGCCCCGCTGGAATCTCCTCTTCTAGAAGCATTTGTAGCTCCGCCATTTTCACATCTTTCAGCGGAGCGGGATGCAGGGCTCCGCTGCGCCTCTAGCGGCCGCCTGTGGAAGCGGGGCTCCGCTGCGTCCTCTAGCGGCCGCCTGTGGACCAGCAGGGGATGTCCCAGAAACAGGGCTGGGTTTTGAAGAGGAAAACTCACTTTCCAAATTTAGTGTTACACTTCATTTTATTAAAATAAAAATCATATGACGTTTAAATACCAATTAATAAGTTTAAATTTCAAATAAATTATCTGTCTTGGTTAAGCCTGCTGGTCATCTATACTCAAACATCATGTAGAGTCATTTAAATTTATTCAGATAGTACTAAATAAATTTGTAAAATACGCATACCTATTAATAAAATACATTTTTGTTAAGTAAACAAAAACAACACATTTTGGGCACAAGTTTTATTACATAAGAGGCTTAAAAAAAAGTGAACGCATTGTTACAAATGTTACAAGGCTCTTCAAAATTTGGCCTGAAACAGTGATGAAAATAACAACAAACATTTGCAACAAACTCGTACTCGAAAATGTCTTTGTGATTTAAAAAAAATGTGTGTTTACCCGTTTTTTAGATGAAATATCTGCTTGAAAACAGGACAAGAGCGAAACATTGTACATAAAAAAAAAGGAAAATCTAGTTCTGAGTCATTTCTCCATCTGTAGATTCTCCAACAAAAAGAGCTTTAAGTTCAAATAGTTTTATTTTATATTGATTATTTTGGCAAATTTCCTCAAGAACAGATGAACCACCTATTGGAAAGATGTGATCTTACCACAGCCAATAGATGGCAGCACTTGTTTCAGAGTCCACTTTTAAAGAACAATTCTTTTTTCACTCTGGTAAGAGTTTCCTCACTTAAAAGGTGGAAATTTATTTGGTTGCAAGTTAGAAATGTGCTTCAAGTCCTCATGTCTTAAAAAGGGTTCAATTAAGAGCTTGATTTTAAATCGCAACTGTAATACTTTGATGGTAAATGCTCACTCAGGTTGATTGCTTTCTAAATACACGATCTTGCAGACTATGTTGCGGTTTTCCTACTGCTGATTGTGATCCAGGTCTCATCCTTCGGCGTGGAAACCAGCTCAGATCGCACCTCTGCTGCTTGATCTCCCAGCTGGTGAAGCTTCAGCTGTCGCACCAGCGTGCTGAGCAGGACCGTAGCCACAGTGTAGGCGAAACTGACGGAAAGCAGTTCAGATATTTAAACCGTGTTCTTCTGACAGCAGCTCAGAGTTATTAAAATGTGTCATTACCCGAGTTCTGGGCACGTTTGGTTCCCTGAGAAGCCAAGAAGGCAGAAGCTCTTCCTTGCCGATTCTTCCTCAAATCGATCTGGATCGAATCTAATAAATATAAGTTAAAAAAAATTATTAAATATATATTCCACATTCTAATTCCTATAGAGATTTCAAATTCTAGAAACTGTAAATTGAATTAAAATGTAAACTTTCTGATTTGGGAAAAATGAAAATAATTGGAAAAAAGTAGAAGTCCTAGTTCAAATCCTTGGGGAACCCCTTGAACACTGGGTAAAGAGATGACTGATTCTTTTTTTAACTACTCCAACATAGATTTGCTTCCATGTTTGGTGATTTTGTCCTGTTGAGGACCCAGTTTTGACCTACTTTGATATAGAAACAACAACCTTTGATTTGATCACTACAAGTTCTTGTAGCAGAAATTTAAACCACAAAACACGCAAATAATCAGAAACAAAAATCAAAACAAACTGTGAACCTGTAGGGGGCGCTCCATGTGTCAGCATCTTCAAGGACCACTCCCAGGGCATAGATGACCAGAGTCTGAAACATGAACAAATGCATTATTACTGTCCTTTCCTCATATTGTCATACTGACTAGATCAGTGTTCTGCAACCCTCTGCAGCCAGAGGGTCTCTTTAAAACTACACAATGGCTCTTTATCAATTTG